CTTTAAAACTAGCTATTTTAATAATAACGCTTCTGGTTTTGTGGCACACAATTTTGAAGTTAACTATTGACTGACTGGAAGTCCTTCATTTTCAATGACAGCTGGTGATTTGAGTTGAGCAGATTGCATTGACTGCCATAATGTAGATAATGTAGACACAATGTTAAAATGAAAGAAAGCGACGTCTGCTGTCTACCTTGTCAAGAGGTTAAAGTGACTATTTGTCAATTTATACTTTCATCATTGTCTCATACACATATCTATGGAAGCCTGTTTTCCAAAAAAAAAAAAGGTAATTGTGATTTGGACTCTCAATTAGGGATATAAAAAAAAAATTTCAGAATCGCGAGATATAAACTCAGAATGTTTTACTCTTTTTATCCACCATAGAATAAAAAAATAAAAAAGGCAATTGCTAACTTTTATTATTTTTTTCTCACAATTGTGGGTTTATGTGTCTCAGAATTGCGAGTTTATTTGTTGCAATTTTGAGTATAAAAAATTATTGTAAAAAGTGAGATTATAAGATAAAATGTCGTGATTACTTTTTTTTATTTTTTTATTCCATGGCAGAGATAAGCTTCCATGTATATCAGCTAGTGCTGTCAAACGATTAATCGCGATTAATCGCATCCAAAATAAATGTTTTTGTTTACATAATATATATACACAGTACACACACATATATTATGTATAAATACACACACGTGCACATGTATATTTATTATGTATATATAAACACATACACATGCACGTATATATTAAAAAAAAAATGTATATTAAATATATTTATATATAATATAAATTATAAAAAATATATACATGTCAATATTTTCAAAATGTATATAAACATTTTTTTTCAGAATCGCAAGATATAAACTCAGAATGTTTTACTCTTTTTATCCTCCATAGAATAAAAAAAAAAAAAGGCAATTGCTAACTTTTATTATTTTTTTCTCACAATTGTGGGTTTATGTGTCTCAGAATTGCGAGTTTATTTGTTGCAATTTTGAGTATAAAAAATTATTGTAAAAAGTGAGATTATAAGATAAAATGTCGTGATTACTTTTTTTTATTTTTTTATTCCATGGCAGAGATAAGCTTCCATGTATATCAGCTAGTGCTGTCAAACGATTAATCGCGATTAATCGCATCCAAAATAAATGTTTTTGTTTACATAATATATATACACAGTACACACACATATATTATGTATAAATACACACACGTGCACATGTATATTTATTATGTATATATAAACACATACACATGCACGTATATATTTAAGAAAAATTTTATATTTTTATATTAAATATACTTATATATAATATAAATTATAAAAAATATATACATGTCAATATTTTCAAAATGTATACTGTATGAGTGTGTATTTATATATACATAATAAATATACACAGTACACACACATATGTACACAAAAATGTTTATTTTGGATGCGATTAATCGCGATTATCAGCTAATTAAATAGCCTAAAACACTCGCCAAATTAGTCGCTCACAGATGTGAATATTCAACCAGTTATTTTAAGTTCATAAACTGGCAAGGAAAAGTTAAAAAAATAATAATTTATATTCAGCACAACAGCTAAAACAGAACTTGAGTGATGCTTATCCATGCAAAACTACGCCAGGTAGTTGCTATGTTACTTGCTTAGTGGTTGAGTGTTTTTTACATGCCAATTTTAAATGCAAGTTTGCTTAAATAACTACCCCAAAGTATGATCCACACATAAGCAGTAGGTTTATTGATCCTAGCTTAGCAAACATTTGAAAATCAAACAAGAAGCAAGCCAATCTTTGAACTTCCTATACTTTGGAAATCAAAACCACAACATCTGAAATCAGAAAATACGGCCGGTCTTGAAACATTAACCTAACGAGCCATTTGTAGAAACCAGACGCGCAAGTACACAATCCATCATCCGTAGCAAATGAATCTGAACAGTCTGATGTGCACTAAATCACGACTAATTAGGTCCCTTTGAGCAACAGGCTGCAGGTACGTGGAGCAGAGAAGCGATTGAATCTGGCATCCATCATCCGCTCTGCATTTGCGAGAGATCATGTACGCTGCCAGAGCAATCACGCTCAAATTATGACTCACCTTTTTCAATAGACCGAGCTGGAGTGAAAACAATAGAGCACTAACTACAGGCTGGCAGGGCTTATTTTAATCAGAACACCAGTGTAACTGGAAATAACAGACCTGGATAACTCAGTCACCGTTACAAAGCTTGTGTCATCGTTTCTGTTTAGAGTATAATTCATGCAGCATGGCTTTGTCTGCCATAAACTGTCATGATATGCATCATGTAGGGTTTTGTTTTAGTGTGTTTCACATGAATCAAAGCAGTGTTTCCTACAGGATCTTGCTGTTGCAACAGCGAGCTCTGACCTAAACAAAAATAACACTATTTGTCCAAAAATATTATAATAGTAAAAAAAAAAAAATGTTATTCAACAAGGATGCATTAAACTGATCAAAAGTAACAGTAAAAATTTATAATGTTACACAAGAATCATATTTCAGATTAATGCTGTTCTTCTGAACTTTCTATTCATCAAAGAATTCTAAAAAAAAAATAAAAATAAAGTGGTTTCTACAAAAAATATTAAGCAAAACTGTTTTCAACATTGGTACTACTAATAATACATGTTTAAATACAAATAAATAAATAAATAATTTTTCTTGAGCAGCAAATCAGCATATTAGTATGATTTCTGAAGGATCATGCGACTCTGAAGACTGGAGTAATGATGCTGAAAATTCAGCTTTGCATCACAGGAATAAATTACATTTTAAAATATATTCAAATAGAAAACAATCGTTTAAAATTGTAATAATATTTCACAATTTTTCACTGTATTTCTGATCTAATAAATGCAGCCTCGGTGAGCAGAAGACACTTCTTTCAAAAACACTGACACCAAACATTTATATATTACTGTATCTATCATTCAACTGAGCTTAAAATATTTTTTTTCATCAAAATATATTTTATATTACATATTTTCATAATGATGCTCCTGAATAGTGATGCAGGAATCATAAATTCATTCATTGTTTCAAATGGCCAATGTGGTCATCTAGCAGGAGACAATACGAGTTTCCACAATAAGCGTCAGTCATTGTCAGAACTCATATCTTAAGTAATATTATGCCACGTACACACTGCAAAGTTTTAGGAGTGACACCAACATTTAAATACAGTAAATCCCCTAAATTATCATTCAGGGGTCCCTCCCAAAATTGCTCTAAGCAAGAAACGCGAATGCTAACAGTCAAACTTGTTTGGTGTTGGTTATAGTTCACAAAATGAATATAATATACACTACATGGATTTAATATAAATGATTTTTCAGGTGGGAATTTGGCTGTAGAATGTGGTTGTCACACAAACTGAACAACCAGTGACAACCATATACTGCAGTGTTCATCTCTATAACACTGACCTGCATCATATTTAGTTTAGACTGCTGATTCCAAAAATAGTGCCTGCTTTGCTCTTGCTTGTTACAGCTTCTCAGTAAATATGATGCATTTCGTAACATTTTTGCTTTAGACAGCCATTTGTTAGGTGAAGAAGTCTAAAAATGAGAAATATTAGGCCTTTTATGCAAATCAGCAGAGTTTTTGTTCAAGACGCAGGACTGTGTTATCTTTCACCAAGCATTTAAACACACACACACCATGTGTGTTCATGTTTGCCAACCCACACTGGTATAACCAGTATTATGAGATGGTTAACTAAACCAGTAAAGCCAGTGCTGATGCAATAATACTCACAATAGGACATTTAAGGGTGACAATAAATGAAAACTGTGCCATAACTGAAACTCTGCCAGCTCACAAGACAGCGTAAACACATAGACAACGTTTCGTTTAAACAGCTTTAGTCAGGAACTCGTCTAAAAATGAGAAATATTAGGCCTTTTATGCAAATCAGTAGAGTTTTTGTTCAAGACGCAGGACTGTGTTATCTTTCACCAAGCATTTAAACACACACACACCATGTGTGTTCATGTTTGCCAACCCACACTGGTATAACCAGTATTATGAGATGGTTAACTAAACCAGTAAAGCCAGTGCTGATGCAATAATACTCACAATAGGACATTTAAGGGTGACAATAAATGAAAACTGTGCCATAACTGAAACTCTGCCAGCTCACAAGACAGCGTAAACACATAGACAACGTTTCGTTTAAACAGCTTTAGTCAGGAACTCAAAAAATAAAATAGTTCAGAGCATCCAGAACTTTCCGACTCCACATATGCCAGAGTTGTATGACTTGTTAGTCATACCATGTCAGCTGAGATGATTAATAACTAGCCCGAGGGTGGTAAGGTAACAGCGTTAATGGTATTTGTTAACAACATATGACCTACGAGCTGCACAGATGCACCGCATTTTATGCTTATTTTTGAGTCTTTCAAATCCGCTGCGCCTGCCACCATCTTATAAATGGTTTTATAATGAATTCAGGGTTTCTCACACAATGCTTAACCCTGGGTTAATGTCTTTTTAACCCAGAGTAAAGCAGCGTTTCACACTTAGAACTTATAAAAAGGGGTTAGCAATGCTTTAAACCCTGGGTTATAAAGCTCTGCTCCAACGTACTGCGGTGCCAAAGGTATAAAAGTAAAAAGAATGTAACAGTGAGTCATTTAGAAACAGACAACCAATCATAAACTGATTAATTGCTTGCCTAATTAAATATTCATGAGATTTGCACAGTCACAAAGACGTTCAGTTTAGTGTCAGAACATGTTGAACAGTTAATCTGCATTTAATTAAAAAATGTTTGCCTTCAAGTTTCAGACTTGAGAAGAGCAGATTGATCACAACATTTACACAGATGCACAAGCAAATATAAACAAGTCGCATACAGTAGCCTATTTGTCCAATTGATGCTAATAAACAAATTAGCAAAAAAGAAACCCCAGGGTTTACAAATGTAGTGAGAAATCTAAAAAATGACTACCCCAAATTATTTGCTAACCCACTGTAATGTGAGACAATACAAACAAGACCATTTTTGAAAAATAAACGCATTCCCAAATATAAATATAGAACAACTTACACTTCCGAAAACGAACATCTTCACCATACGCAGAATCAGATACGCCCAGAATATGTGCAGCATCAACAGGATGACGAGCATGAAGTTAAAAAAGTAATATCCAAAGAATGGTGGGTAATAGTCTGGTGGATAAACCCACGTGCAGTGAATGATCCTGGAATAAAGATATACGAGACAACAGAGACAGTTTTTAATATCAGTTGGAAGAAACAAATAATGCACGCATGTTATGTAAAATACACCTGAGACTCTTTATCAGAGCTTGGATATTAATAGTCATACATGCAATTCTCACCAAAATGGAAAGATTATGAGTCGCGTGCCTATGAAGACAGCAGCAAATACCACGAAGATGCCGTTGCACGTTCTTTTCCATTTGGCGTAGTTCAAGATCTTGGCAGACTGCAGAGAAATAACACAAAAATACCAAACAGGTGGAGTTTGTACAGTGTCAAGCGGGGATATTACAGTTAACTAAAACCATAAAGTCTTTCATTACTTAAAATAATATAAACTTTAACTAAAAAATGAAATTATGTGTATTATATATATACAGTATATACATATATATGTTTATGTCAGTATTTCAGCTCATAATAAAAAAACTGCGTTAATGCGCGATAAAATAATTGATTATTTTAAATTATTTAAAACAATTGTCAGCATTAATCAAGTAATGCATTAATGCGATAATGCATTAACTTGCCCAGCCCTAATATATATTGTTACGGCCTATGCCTTGAGTGTATCTTCCTTCATGTGACGGCATGTCTCCCCTAATCTTTCTCTTTGAATCTGATTGTTTAGGTCCTCCCCGGTGCACCTGTGTCTCATGGAATGAGTGATTACTAGCTATATAAAGGATGCTGAAGCGGAGCATGGAAGGGAAGGAGCTCCACCAGCAAACAAGCTTTATTACCCTTTTTCTTAATTCTTAAATTTTGGGTTTGTTTTTCTTTTGTTGACTTTATACTTTGGAGTTGCTCCGTGGTTTGGGAAAGTATATTATCCTTTGCTAGTTATTCTATGTTCATTTGTGCTTTCCGTTTGTCAGTATTTCAGCTCATAATAAAAAAACTGCGCTAATGCGCGATAAAATAATTGATTATTTTAAATTATTTAAAACAATTGTCAGCATTAATCAAGTAATGCATTAATGCGATAATGCATTAACTTGCCCAGCCCTAATATATATTGTTACGGCCTATGCCTTGAGTGTATCTTCCTTCATGTGACGTCATGTCTCCCCTAATCTTTCTCTTTGAATCTGATTGTTTAGGTCCTCCCCGGTGCACCTGTGTCTCATGGAATGAGTGATTACTAGCTATATAAAGGATGCTGAAGCGGAGCATGGAAGGGAAGGAGCTCCACCAGCAAACAAGCTTTATTACCCTTTTTCTTAATTCTTAAATTTTGGGTTTGTTTTTCTTTTGTTGACTTTATACTTTGGAGTTGCTCCGTGGTTTGGGAAAGTATATTATCCTTTGCTAGTTATTCTATGTTCATTTGTGCTTTCCGTTTTCTTCGTTTGGATACGTGTTTTCCATTTGTGTTATGCTTCGTTTTGTTATTTAAATAAATCTTTTCGCCTGGCATTTGGATTCACGTGTCCTCTTTATGCTACATCCACCTTTCTGGCTAAACTTAACAGGGGTTTGTAACATAAATTGGGGGCTCGTCCGGGATAACGGTTTAATTTTGTTTTGTTGAGCAGGTAATAGTGGTGCAGCGAACTTATCTTATATATATATATATATATATATATATATATATATAAGTTTGTCAGTATTTCAGCTCATTTCATTTAGTTGAGCTTGATGTATTCAAATAACTCAAACTAAACCTGAAATAAACTATAAAATAATACTATAAAAATAACTATTTAGACATATTTAAAACAAAAAAATAAATAAAAAAGACTAATTAAAATAGAAAAAAATAAAAACATAAAAATAAAAACTTATTCTAAATATTAACAAAAACTATAGTTTCTCACCAATTCTAAAACAACACTGGTGTCAACCATATGAAACCAATAAGAACATCAATTGTTTAGTTTAGACTACATTAAATGGGTTGACAAATGTTGGAGGATTTGTCCCTTTTTTAATAACCAGTAGCCTCATCCCCTTAACTTGTCATTCTAGATAGTATCTGGTTAGACTTAAGTTGTATTTTGCCTGAGTGCAAAGTGAGACATTACTGTTTTTGGTTGTTTAAACCTTGAATGCAAGAAATGATTCATAAAAACATCCAGCCTGCAATGTTTCCTGATCCCATTCCACCAAAAAAAAAATCCTGTCACTCTCTAATACAGGGGTAAATGCCATAAAGAATAACCAAATAATATAAGATTTGGCATATCATTAACCTCCAAAAGAATATCAGAGGAATCGTGAATGAGCATGACCAGGGTCCCGACCCGGATGTAGTTCCCACACCATGAGAAAGCCAACAGCGTCAGTGTGGCCCAGTGATGGACGATCTGCTCTTTAAAGTCCTGAAATAAATATACATGAGAAACATTCACGGAAAGTTTTCACAATCATTCTCAGTGACAGAGAAAAAGTGCGGTTAGATAAGATAAAAACAAATCAATCTGGCTTTAAATGATCGATTACAATAGCTTTCATTGTGTGAATAATGATCGGATGTTTATTTCAGGTCATGTGATGAATGGTTAGGCGCAGACGAAAAAGTTTGAGATGTAATTTGAAAGATTTCAAGTAGTTAAAATGCTTCCAGAAGACAGTGTGGTGTCACATGATACTGACCTTTCGTTTGACATCGAAGGTTATTCTGAGCACTAGTGACAAATAGAAGCTCATCTCCACAATATAATAGCAGTACTGAGACTCCAGCATGGACTGCACGAGCAAAAACACAACAATAAGCTCTCAGAAACATGCACAATAACAAGAGATGACCACGTTACATTTTTATGATGGAAAATGTAAAAGCATCCGAGTTATAAGTCAATGTGAATTTTATGTAATTCATTGTGCTTTGAAGAGGGCTCTTTTTAATTTTTTTGAAGTGATTATTCTAGGAAACTCAATGTTTTGAGTGCCAATCTGAATGACTTCACTGTTCTTTTGATTACAACCTGGAACTCATATAACAAGTGTGAACGGATCCAAAAAAAACCTTCAGCTGGGCCAAAAAAAGACATCTTTCTTCTAAATATGGCCATGCTTGATTTGGAACTAGCGTGAGTCTTATTATCTGCATTATTTATTAGCCGTGCTGTAATTTTGAGCATTGCGTGAACCCTTTATCGGGGCCGGGTCAAAGTGAACAATACCTCGCCTGTTCTTATTAGTGCAGGTGATATGAACAATAAAATATCCCTTGGAACAAGTACGAGCAAATTAAAGATCTGAAGACTGGAACGCACCTGTCTGGGATAGCCATTCCACATCTCCCGCAAATTATGAAACCAGGGTTTCTGTAATAAATAGATGAATCAATATTCAACTTTATGGAACATTCGCTTTTTATTTATGACAGTTTCTAGAGCTGCAAGGTGGCTGTGTTCTAAAACCTAGTACGCTGCCTACTTAGGCGCTGTTTTTAAGGCATCACAGGCACAACACCAACACAAAGACTTAAAAAAGCCAGTCCCTTCTGGAAATCCCATAATGCAGTGGTTCTCAACCAAGGGGCCTCTGCCAATTTCAAAGAGGGCCTCAAGATGACTTAAATTATTTAAAATAAGATACAACAAACTTTAAAATAAGCTAATACCATTAAATAATAAGGTATTTATGACTTAGATTTTAGACAATTTGACAAATTGATTTAAAAAACAACAACAATAAATTTAAATACCATGGGCATTTCTATATTGAATATACCGTTTTCTAGTAATGCCAAACGCTAAAATATTTAGTCACATAGAAATTGAGTATCTCTCTCTCTTTCCCTTAAATCACATTGACTGTCATGAAAAGTCATGTAAATGAATAAATGAAAGAGTATGATTCCTTAGTTCTTTAAACTTCTGGAGCCGGTTGCACCAGCTAGATGTAAAAAAGTTGGGTGTTAAAGGGATACTCCACCCCAAAATGAAAATCTTGTCATTAATCACTTACCCCCATGTCGTTCCAAACCCGTAAAAGCTTCGTTCGTCTTCGGAACACAATTTAAGATATTTTGGATGAAAACCGGGAGGCTTGTGACTGTCACATTGACTGCCAAGTAAATTACACTGTCAAGGTCCAGAAAAGTATGAAAGACATCGTCAGAATAGTCCATCTGCTATCAGTGGTTCAACCGTAACGTTATGAAGTGACGAGAATACTTTTTGTACGCGAAGAAAACAAAAATAATGACTTTATTCAAAAATTAAACTCTCTCCGCATCACCGTAGCGCCATTTTGGAGAATATGAGCTGAACGCAAGCAGCGTACGCTCTTCTGCGTAAGCCGCAACACAAGGATACGTTTTCTACGTGTATTTATGCTTTGATATGAATGAAAACGGCGCATCCGTGCAGCACGGCTGACACAGAAGAGCGTACGCTGCTTGCGTTCAGCTCATATTCTCCAAAATGCCGCTACGGTGATGCGGAGAGACACAGAGGAGACAAATTGTTGAATAAAGTTATTTTAGTTTTCTTCACGTACAAAAAGTATTCAAAAAGTATATAAAAAGTATAATTTTAAAAACAAATGGTCTAGGGGGCCTTCGAAAATTGTTGTGGATAACAGGGAACCTTGGAATCAGAAAAGTTCAGAACCACTTCTATAATAATGCATTGCAGTATTTAAATGTAAATATAAATGATTCAATACTAAAAGTAAAATCAATACAAACAGTTCAGTTTCATTAAAAATATATTAGTTTACCCAATATTTGTGTCATTAGCTTAGCAACATGATAACATCAAATTCTATTAAAATCAATTGTTAATTACGTCCTCCTGAACACTGTGCATGCACACTATTTACATGATGCTGCCAATGTAGTGTGTATTTCCCACAGTGCACATCTGTCAGAGGCTACAAATACATTAGATTTCTCAACCCCTGAGGGCACCTGATCACAGATTAGTTTCAATGGGCAAACTCATGTCAATCATCAGTACAGGAAAGTATGTCTTACATCAGACATGCAGAAGGATAAGCAAGTATGTTAAAGGAGAAACCCTGAGAAGAGGATAAACTCACATCATACAGGGCTATGATTCCACCAACGAACGCCGCCAGATAAAACACCAATCGCCAACTACAGAGAGGAAACTCATGTGATCAGGGATTACATTCAGATCAAAACAACTAGTCAACACTAGTCTTGACAGCCTAAGCAGACAGCAACAAATTAGCAACCACTTGGGTATTAGGCCCTGTCTAGACTTGTGCCTTATGACTGCTGCAGTGCGTTGTGGGTATTGAATGTGGAACAGTGTTTTAAAGGGAACACTTTACAATAAGGTTTCATTTGTTAGTTAACCACACTAGTTAACATGAAAAGTGAGCATTTATCTTAGTTAATGCTGATCTCAATATTTAAAACAAAATTTTCAGATCAAAAGCTGTATCTGTTAGCTTTAGTTAATGTGAACATGAAACTTGTTATTAACTAACTTTAACAAAGATTAATAAATAATGTAAACAATATACATATTGTTCATTGTTAGTTTATGTTAGTAGTTAATGCATTAAAATGTAAAAAAAATGGGCCCTTATTGCAAAGTGTTATGGTTTTATAAAAAAAATTTTTTTAAAAATAAAAAATATATATTTTTTTTAATGAGGAAAAAAAATGAACTTAAATGATTTTAGCAAATGGCTGAAATATAACAGAGTGAAAAATGTAAGGGGGTCTGAATACTTTCCGTACCCACTGTATATACTTTTGTATTTTGTATAATTATTTGTGCCATCTGCATCTTGATAATCCGGACACCTGTGATTCACTGTCCTGAACCTTACATTTGTCTGCTCATGTTTATGCATTTAGCATAAGACATTTTTATTCAAAAAAGACTTGCATCCAACATTTATATTTTTTAAAAGTATGCAATTTCCTCGAGAACCGAACCCACTACCTTGCCTGTCAGGGTTCTGTCACTTCGGTCTAGTGTTATTCGTGGTTTTGTGGCAGAGCCCTCACACTCCCGTCATGTCTTGTTTTCATGTCTTGCTCTCATCTGCGTGTCCTGTTTCCTTGTTTCATGTTGAAGCGTGGTGTTCGGATCCCGGCACTCATGTCTTGTTGAGTTTCAGTTTCGTGTCGGGGTCCGGACACTCGCACTCCATGTTCTGTATTATTGTGGGAGCGTGCGGTCTCGAGTTCGCTCGGCCGTGCGCTCTTCTGTCCACGTGTGTTGTATTTTGTGTAGCATGCGGTTTGTGTTCGACCACGTGCTTTTCTTGTTGTCTTGTGTTGTTGTTGCACGCAGCTCGTGTTATCGGCTGCGTGCTTTCATGTCGTGTTTTGTCTTGTGCTGTGTAGCACGCAGCTTGGTTTTCGCTGGCTGCATGCTGTCTTGTCTTGTGTGAACACGCAGCTTATGAGTATTCTCATTAGCTGCGTGTTCGTGTCTTGTTTTATTCAAGCACATGGCTTGTGATTGTTTTGCTGGCCATGTGCTTGTGTTTTTGTTTTGTGTAAGCACATGGCTTTTGTCTTTGTTTCCTGTGTGCCATGTGCTCACATGTCAATTGTCTTGACCTCACCCATCTTGTTACCTGATTATTGGTTAATTTGCCCCACCTGTGTTTCCCTAGTTACCCTCCTCATTTGCTCCCTATTTATTCTCCTTGTGTTTGCAGTCTCATGCCAGTTTGTCATCGTATCACCCTGGATGTGTCCTGCCCTGCCTTGCCTTGTTGCCTGCGGTCCTGTTTTACCCCCATGGGGTAGTTTTTGTTGCATGTCTTATTTTACTATTAAAAGGCCATTTTCTGCTGTACTGAGTCCTTGCCTCATCCCTCTACCCAAACATTGCCATTGCTTATGCCAAGCTCTACTGTTTGAGTTACAAGAATGCTAGAACACAGGTTTATTATTATACAATAATATTTGACAACAGAATGCAGCATTTGACCAATCAGAATTCCAGACAGATGTGTAATAAGTCATATTAGGTTATGTGTATTTCATACCTGGCCTCTCTGAATTTTTTCAGAACCCCAGGACGGTCCTGGTTTCGTCTCCTTCTGAACCAGCGCTCCACTTGTCTATTTGAATAGCTGCATTTTTTGCACAGGCCATCAATATCTGCCTGATAAGAGATGGAAGAGTGCAGAAGGGTAAGTCGAGAAGTATTGCAAACCATCTCATATCAGAAAAGAGGCATGTTGGTTTTAATATGACTGTGTATGCGTCATAATTCTGGATTTATATTGGCAAATACTACCAAAAAAAAAAAACACTTCCCAGTTTTGCCAGATTTACTGACTTGTCTTTTCAAGTATCTCAAATTTTATAAGGGTGTACAATTGAATAATTATTCAAGTAAATAAAATTCAATATCTATAAAATGTAAAGCATATAATATAGATTTTCATTTTTATAAAACACAAAATCAGACGCTTACATGAAAGCATTAAATCAATTTATGAAGGGGCTAAAAATGCTTCATTAGCCGATGAACCTCAAGTACTTGACCTGGGTTGATGGTTTGATCGAATAAATTACTCATAATATTTTACAATTAAATCTAAATCTTAAATCATCACACAGATTTACTATGTATATGCGGTGGGTTAAAAAAAAAAAGAAAAAATATGTATAAATCATGTGATCAAGATGAAATTGAGTTCAAATCAAGTTTCCAAAGAAGCTTTGCAGAAAATCTTGCCTTAATGTCTAATTCTCCCCAGTGATGAAGTCAAAGGCGACTTTGAATCTGAGGTGGATCTGAATGTGATGTTGTGTGAGAGGGGAAGACGTTACCTGTCTGGGGTGTTTTGACTTTGTACTGAAATAATGGTCAAGAACAGCATTGTGCTCCACTTTGCATCTGGGATTCTCTGTAATGCCAATCGAAGCTGCAAGCGGTGCCGCTATCAACCTAAAAAGGCAGACATTAGTACAGTTAGACCGTTTGCATTTTTTATTATATTAGCATTAAGTTAAGAAACCAGTCTTCTTTTTGTCCTCAATGGAAAGCATATTTACACTGTTTGATTCATTCTCTGCCAATGTTTCAACTTAACTTCAGAAGAGTTAAGAAATCAATATTTGAGATGAATGAAAACATTTCTTATTTTGGCCAATTGTCATTTTCTGGGGGGAAAAAAAATTATATATACTGTATATAAAAATAAAAAGACAGTATTTTTATTTGGAAGAAATGTTATCAGACGTTTATAGAATAAAACAAATATTAACATTTTACTCAAACCCATACCTAGCGAATCCAGAGAAATGTTCAAGTGGTCTCTTAATTTTTTACATAGCTTTATGTATATTTGTGTTTATATAGCTACCAATAAAGTTAGCTACTGTTGGCAGTAGCTTATAGTGTAGGGGAAAAAAACTGGTCTAAAAACAATTTTCCCTCATAAATTGCTAGTAAATTTCACAAACAATTACAAAGAAACTGCAAAGTTACGCATTTAATTAAAAGCAAAATTTTAAAGTAGACAAATAGTATTTTCTTGTAAAATATACTCCAGTAATCTTTTATTTACTGTACAACTAAGAAAAAAAAACACATTTTACAGGGTAACTACTTTAAAAGGGTAGCTTTACTTTAAACAAGCTTTGTAGCTTGAAAAGTTCTCCAACACTGATCATATGTGTGGCAAAAAAGATTAACAAATTCTCACGCTGGCCTCTGAAATCTGCCCTCAAGTGATTGATCAAATTTCCATTTCCTGCAACAAAACCACAGAAATTCCACAAGCGACTCACCTTTCAAACAGGTATCTGACTACAAGGAAGACTAAAGCATATGGCACAGTGGCGTAGAGGTGGGATGCTCTGGCGTAGACGAGCCCTTCCTCGTCTTCGAGATCTGCCCACGTGAGGTTTCCCGGCAGCCACAGCCGGTCCCACCACAACCACGCATTAATCGTCCCAATCATGACGGCGATCTGGTGAACACAGGCACAGCCAGACAAGATTTTACAAGTGTTTCATGCCAACACCCCCTTTATAAACATTGTGACTAGAACAACGATAAGCATCTTAGATTATATTACTGAATTTCTTCAAGGAAGAAGCTGTTCCTAGTGAGAGAAGATGAGTGCTTTTTAACAACAAACCAAAATTGACATAATTTACTCTCTTAAAGGAATAGTGAAAATTTGCTAAACATTTACTCGCCAATGCATCCAAGATGTAGATGTAGTTTGTTTCTTCATCAGAACAGATTTGGAGAAATGTAGCATTGCATCACTTGCTCACCAAAGGATGCTCTGCAGTGAATGGGTGCCGTCAGAATGAGAGTCCAAACAGCTGATAAAAACATCACAATAATCCACAAGCAATCCACACCACTCCAGTCCATCAGTTAATGTCTTGTGACGAGAAAAGCTGCACTGTTTGTAAGAAACAAATCCATCATTGAGATGTTTTTAACTTCTAAACATTGCTTTCGGGTAAAATATGAGTCCTCTTTGTATAATATTGTTTTCTCCAGTGAAAAAGTCATCTTGTCTGAATCAGGAGAGAAATATGCACAGATCAAACACTGTTTACAAGCCAAAACAGTTCAAACCAGTTCTAAACAAATATGTTTGGGGGATTTTGATGTGAGAGGACAACAGGAGATGGATTTTTTTTCACTGGAGGAAGCCTTATTATGGATTATGGATTTTGGCCAGAAGTGACAGTTTAAATTTATAACTCTTTAATTATGGATTTGTTTATTACAACCATGCAGCTTTTTTCTTCACAGGGTGTTAACTGATGGACTGGAGTGGTGTGGATTATTGTGATGTTTTTATCAGCTGTTTGGACTCTCATTCTGACGGCACCCATTCACTGCAGAGCATCCATTGGGGAGCAAGTGATGCAATGCTACATTTCTCCAAATCTGATGAAGAAACAAACTCATCTACATCTTGAATGCACGGCCAGCAAACTTTAAGCAAATTTTCATTTTGGTTCAAATAACTATTCCTTTAGAACACATTCATAATGCAGCAGTGCTCGTTATTCTAAAGAAGAGAAGCTCGTCTTCATAACTTATCATCTTTTTCCCCTTTTTCATAGCAGATAACCTACATACTGTAATAAACATTTTACTGTAGCATACATCAGCATACACAATTAGAGTTTATGGGGAACACATAAATATATGATGGTAGTATATTTTACAAAAATGTTCTATTATTATTTAAAGAGAGATGGAGATGTGGCGAGAACCTGGAGGTTCAAAGTTTTATTCTAGACACACAAAACAACTTCGCTAACAAATTAAAGAGTGCAATGGCAGTATAATCATAAAATCATAGTGTCATCTCATTAAAATGAAAAATATTTTCAGTGAAAACGTATAAACATTTGTACACTAAATACATATTTTGCAAATCAAGAATTAAATGAGTCAGAGTTATTTAGCCTTTAAAGACACTTAAGTATTCATGATGCATTCAGCGCTGTGGATTTATGCCATAAACCAAAATAGATGCTTATTATTGTCATTAATGTTTTACAGTACTCTCCTGCATCCATTTAAACCTACGACAAAAGTGCAGTGAAGGCAGAATCTTGATAATCCCAAACAATTAAAGGGTAAATAATCAAATTATGTAAAGACAGTGATTTATGGATCTGTGTTCAAATGTTTGAGATTCTGTAGCTCTTGTTCTATTTTTGAGCCTTAAATGAGTCGCTGAATTTGTTGAGTGTTGATGGCAAAACAGCTCAGCGATGCTGACCTGAGGCTAAACCACAAGCGCATACCTACACACACACACACACCTGATCTGGAAATACAAGTAGAGGTTCACACCAGCTCTACTTGTATTTCCAGATCAGGTGTGTGTGTGTAGAGCTGGTGTGAACCTACATGTTGTTGTGCTGATTTAGAGTTCAGATCCATTTAGTGAATTACACATGTGTAACAGCACACTGTATCTACATCTTGAATGCACGGCCAGCAAACTTTAAGCAAATTTTCATTTTGGTTCAAATAACTATTCCTTTAGAACACATTCATAATGCAGCAGTGCTCGTTATTCTAAAGAAGAGAAGCTCGTCTTCATAACTTATCATCTTTTTCCCCTTTTTCATAGCAGATAACCTACATACTGTAATAAACATTTTACTGTAGCATACATCAGCATACACAATTAGAGTTTATGGGGAACACATAAATATATGATGGTAGTATATTTTACAAAAATGTTCTATTATTATTTAAAGAGAGATGGAGATGTGGCGAGAACCTGGAGGTTCAAAGTTTTATTCTAGACACACAAAACAACTTCGCTAACAAATTAAAGAGTGCAATGGCAGTATAATCATAAAATCATAGTGTCATCTCATTAAAATGAAAAATATTTTCAGTGAAAACATATAAACATTTGTACACTAAATACATATTTTGCAAATCAAGAATTAAATGAGTCAGAGTTATTTAGCCTTTAAAGACACTTAAGTATTCATGATGCATTCAGCGCTGTGGATTTATGCCATAAACCAAAATAGATGCTTATTATTGTCATTAATGTTTTACAGTACTCTCCTGCATCCATTTAAACCTACGACAAAAGTGCAGTGAAGGCAGAATCTTGATAATCCCAAACAATTAAAGGGTAAATAATCAAATTATGTAAAGACAGTGATTTATGGATCTGTGTTCAAATGTTTGAGATTCTGTAGCTCTTGTTCTATTTTTGAGCCTTAAATGAGTCGCTGAATTTGTTGAGTGTTGATGGCAAAACAGCTCAGCGATGCTGACCTGAGGCTAAACCACAAGCGCATACCTACACACACACACACACCTGATCTGGAAATACAAGTAGAGCTGGTGTGAACCTCTACTTGTATTTCCAGATCAGGTGTGTGTGTGTGTAGAGCTGGTGTGAACCTACATGTTGTTGTGCTGATTTAGAGTTCAGATCCATTTAGTGAATTACACATGTGTAACAGCACACTGTAAAAAAAAAAATTCTGTTACATTTACAGTAAAATACCGGCAGCTGTGGTTGCCAGAACTTCGCCGTTAAAAATATGGTAGCAACATTTTAGGTTTTACAGAATTAACTTAAATTCACAATAAAAAAACGTATTTCATTAACTGATGTAATGTTAATAAACCAGCATATTGAAGTACTAATATCTGTTTCGAACCATTGAAATGCTGATAACCACCAAAAACAGGTGGTGATGATAAAGTCGCATGATGAATCAAAGCTCATCACAAACAGCTCTTCCACAAGCTGAGATGGGAAATACTAATAGGCTATATATATATATATATATATATATAGAAGGTGCACAGTGTCATTCACACAAACACTAAACACCATCATGGTAACACACACGATGCTGAAATAATGCAATAAACATTCATTTAACAACATTAGAAGTAAGATAAAACCCTAATGTACACAACTGATTCACAACATTTATTTAAACGAAAAAACATAAAATATGAAGTGTCATGCAGGGAATTCTGGGAATGTCAATTTACGGTTATTCACTGTAAATGATAAATGACTTTTTCTTTGTCACTTCCAAAAACTGTAATTTTAACAGTATTTTACTGTAAAATTACATTAAATGTAATTACAGTTATTCACCGTATATAATATGGAAATTACTGATAACCAATTAACAGGTTTTTACTGTAGCATTTTTACAGTCGTTTACTGTTAAAATCACAATTTTTTACAGTGCACTTCACACCCAAATACCATCCAAATATTAGCCGTGATATACTGTACAAGGAAACAAATCCACAATAGAGGGAAATATTAATGAGGTTATCACAAGTGAAAGTATTTCACAGAGACTAAATAATAACGTAATCCTGGGTTATCTTAAGTCAGGTTTCATACCGTCCAGACTGGGTTAGCAATTAATCCTGGGTCTCAGGTTCTGAGATATTTAACTGTGCAGTATAACACTCTTATTTGCATATTTACAAGGTTAATAACTTTAAAAAAATTGGCCAAGTCAAAGGAAATATATCAAGCAGTTTATACAAGGATTTATAGCGCTGTGATGCGATCTCATTGCCCCAACACCTCAATTAATTTAGTAATAAATTCAAAATAACAGCCCTGGCAGAAATATTTTAGAAGTAAACATGTGAAAGTTTCGTTTATCCGTATTGGACTTAATAAAGCTATAGTGATATATCAGGAAAGGCAGTTAAATTGGTTGATATTGAGCTTTTTTGAAATGATCAGAACAGATTTGGCATTTAAAATGTTTATTATAAACACACATGCAAATCAGCATATCAGAATGATTTCTGAAGATCGTGTGACACTGAAGACAGGAGGAATGAAGCTGAAAATACAGCTCTGATCACAGGAATAAATGACATCTTAATATATTCACATAGAAAACCGCTATTTTAAATTGTAATCATTTTTCACAATATTACTGTTTTTACTGTATTTTTGGTCAAATACATGCAGCCTTGGTGAGCATAAGAGACTTTTTTTTTCATATATAAACTTACCGGACCCACATTTTTGAACTTGTAACTAAATGCTAACCATTAGTTATTACTGTATTTTGACCTTTTAATGTATCTGCTCATATCCGTTTAACCATAATATAATTGCTTAATAATTCCTTTCTTATATTTTGACTTTGATCAGACAATATTAGCAGCACACAATGACAGTCTTTCTCTGTGACCGTACGATGACCAATGAGAACGGCCAGAACACCATGTCAACTGAACATAACAAAGAGCTCAGAGTCTGTTTGAACAAGATGCCGAGTAAACAGAGCTGCCTTCACGTGTACAGATCACAGAATTATTATCAGCCGCATTACTGCCACACACATCTACACGATCACAAAGCCACTATCTTCTCTCTTAACCATTTCTGATAACAAGAAACTAGGAGAGTCGAACGGAATAGTTTGAATTCAAGAACCGATTCATCTGAGCACATAACAATGTTCAAACTTTAAGTCGTCATTTGTAAGAGACACATTTCAACAAATACAACAGCGCATTTCAACGCTTAAAGATTCAAAGGGACCATAATGGTGTTTTGCAATCGATAAGGTTCAGCTGTCAAAGATTTACATTCTCTACTTTGACCAGCCATCTAGATCTGATATTTTAGCATACGGTCACCAACACAAGCATCTCGATTAAAGCTGGTCAAGAATGTTCTAATTAAACTTTGATTCGAGATTTCAAGAACGGCAAGAAGAAAGACTTTAATAAGACCAAAGCAAAGAGGCATTAATCTACTTATGAATTATGACACACGAAACAAACCCTGAATCTTCTCAAAATGCTCAAAAAGATCAGAAAGCCTGGAAATAACAGTAGATTTCAGTCTTAAAGCTCACACAGGCAGGTTTCCACATGCTCGACTTTACATTAGAGTCACTTTCCAGACAGCTTTCATAAAAATCCCCTTATTTTCTACATTTTTCTCGTTTAAAACTCAAGACAATTACTGAAGAATGAGTATTAAATCACATTGCAAACCTAAAAATGTAATAAGATCAGAAAAATCAATAGACCAAAGCAGAGGCATTAATCTACTAGTGAAGTTTCTTAAAATGTCAAAAAAAATAAACTATTAAAAAAGCTACAGAAAAAATGAACTATGGAATAAACAGTACTGTCCAGTCTTAAAACTATTTAAAAGAAACTCAAAAGCAGGTTTCCACAAGCTCTGCTTTTCATTAGAGTCACTTTCCAGACAGCTTTCATAAAAATCCCCTTATTTTCTACATTTTTCTCGTTTAAAACTCAAGACAATTACTGAAGAATGAGTATTAAGTCACATTGCAAACCTAAAAATGTAATAAGATGAAAAAAATCAATAGACCAAAGCAGAGGCATTCATCTACTAGTGAAGTTTCTTAAAATGTCAAAAAAAAAAAAACTTTTAAAAAAGCAACTGAAAAAATGAACTATGGAATAATGGAATAAACAGTACTGTCCAGTCTTAAAACTATTTAAAAGAAACTCAAAAGCAGGTTTCCACAAGCTCTGCTTTTCATTAGAGTCACTTTCCAAACATCTTTCATAAAAGTCCTTCATATTTTCTCCATTTGTTGTTTACAACTTGAGACAATTACTGAAGAATGAGTATGAAGTCATATTGCAAACCTAAACATTTAATAAGATCAGAAAAATCAATAGACCAAAGCAAAGAGGCACTAATCTACTAGTGAAGTTTCTAAAAATGTCCAAAAACCTATACAAAAAAAACAAACAAAAAAACTGAAAAACCTGGAATAAACCGTACTGTCCAGTCTTAAAAAAAATAACTCAAAAGCAGGTTTCCACAAGCTCTGCTTTTCATTAGAGTCACTTTCCAAACATCTTTCATAAAAGTCCTTCATATTTTCTCCATTTGTCGTTTACAACTTGAGACAATTACTGAAGAATGAGTATGAAGTCATATTGCAAACCTAAACATTTAATAAGATCAGAAAAATCAATAGACCAAAGCAAAGAGGCACTAATCTACTAGTGAAGTTTCTTAAAATGTCCAAAAACCTATACAAAAAAAACAAACAAAAAAACTGAAAAACCTGGAATAAACCGTACTGTCCAGTCTTTAAAAAAATAACTCAAAAGCAGGTTTCCACAAGCTCTACTTTTCATTAGTCACTTTCCAGACATCTTTCATAAAAATCCCCTTATTTTCTCAATTTTTCTCGTTTAAAACTCGAGACAATTACTGAAGAATGAGTAGCAAGTCACATTGCAAACCTAAAAATTTTACAAGATCAGAAAAATCAATAGACCAAAGCAAAGAGGCATTAACCTACTAGTGAAGTTTCTAAAAATGTTAAAAAAATAAAACCAACAGAAAACCCTGGAATAAACAGTACTGTCCAGTCTTAAAACTCAAAGGCAGGTTTCCACAAGCTCTACTTTTCATCAGAGTCACTTTCCAAACATCGTTCATAAAAGCCCTTCACATTTTCTCCATTCGTCTTGGCTAAAACTCAAAATGCATTGGCTAAGTCCCAACCGCTGGCATTTCATTTCGCCCAAGGTCAAGAAAAGCTGCACGCTTACCTCTGCTTCCTGTAAGTGTCTAATCTCTCAGGCCGCGGAAAGTGTGTAACATGACAGCACGGCTGCGCTGGAAGCCCACGGGAACACTCTGGTTTGTTTGAAATACTTTGCAGTCACACCCTGCTTTATTGCAATGGACTTGTTTCCTCCCCTCCCTCACCGTCCCGAGGTGAACAGGCATTCGGTGGGTTCGCTCATGCATGCACAAAAACTGCGCCCTCACCTCATTTACATTGTGCAACTGATAGAGCTGCAATGTGAGATCAGCGGTTCACTCAGCCTGACAAGACAAAGCACAGGCAACAACGACTCGGTACCACGGGGTGTTTGGGGCAGAACACGGCGTCTGTACTTGCACAAATGAATTACCTGTAATACAGGAGACACCTTTAGTTATGTATAGCAGTTGATCGCAACTAGTGTTACTTCAGGACACATATTTTACACTGAACATCACGTGGTGGACAAATGCAGCGCTAGGTGCATAAAAAGTCACTAAAACATCCTGAGTATAACACTAATAATGCATTTTATCATGAAATGCATTGATCCAACAATTTTATTAAATAGGCAATTCTGGTTCTCTTGAATTTCAATCATTTCACCCATTACACATTGTGACATGCAACTGATAGAGCTGCAATGTGAGATCAGCGGTTCACTCAGCCTGACAAGACAAAGCACAGGCAATGACTCGGTACCACGGGGTGTGTTTGGGGCAGAACAGGGCGTCTGTACTTGCACAAATGAATTACCTGTAATACAGGAGACACCTTTAGTTATGTATAGCAGTTGATCGCAACTAGTGTTACTTCAGGACACATATTTTATCACGTGGTGGACAAATGCAGCGCTAGGTGCATAAAAAGTCACTAAAACATCCTGAGTATAACACTAATAATGCATTTTATCATGAAATGCATTGATCCAACAATTTTATTAAATAGGCAATTCTGGTTCTCTTGAATTTCAATCATTTCACCCATAACACATTGTGACTGCATGCAAGTGAACCCATATTTCATTGAATTCTCTTTCCCCTTCTTTTATCTAATTTAGACTTCTACTAAGCAATAGATACATTTTCACCGAAATGATTTCGCTTTATTAACTATGATCATACGGTTGTTGCATTAAATTAGTTGTATTTAGTTTAGCTTTTTTTTTTCCTGCTTTGCTTGGAGTTGGTAAGATTTTTAGTGTTTTTGAAAGAAAATGCTTACCAAGCCTGCATTTATTTGCTCAAGAACGCAGTAAAATTGTGAAATATTATTACAATTTAAAATACCTGTTTTCTATTGTAATATATTTTAAGATGTAATTTATTCCCGTGATGCAAAGCCATTTATTTAATACACGAGTTTCACAATTTGATTTGAATTTCTGAAATAAATGAACTTTTCCACGACATTCTAATTTATTGAGATGCACCTGTATTATATACATGCACTACATACACAGCGATCGCACTTACAGTCTGAACAACAACAACAAAGCTGAATCAGAGACCTGAGTCAAGAGTCAAATATTAATAAATGATTATAAATATATAATGAGATTATTTAAAATGTTGTGGAATGTTGCAATAAATAAAAAATACAATAGAATGCAAGCATAAAAATAAATGAGGCGTGGAATTACTTTTCATTTTTAAAAAAAGTGCAATGAAACCTAAGCATAAATAAATAAACCGGAAAATAAAATGTTAAATTAAATTCATATTTCATGAGGTTTTTCATTTTAAAGCATATTTCATGTCCGGTTTTTAACATGAAAAAATAAACGCACAATGAAATGTACAGTAAGCATAAATAAGGCTTGAAATGAAAAATGAATTTGTATTTCATGATGCAAATATGCATTTCACGTCCTTTTCTATTTTACATGAAAAAATAAACGCACAATGAAATGTACAGTAAGCATAAATAAGGCTTGAAATGAAAAATGAATTTGTATTTCATGATGCAAATATGCATTTCACGTCCTTTTCTATTTTACATGAAAAAATAAATAAATGCATTTAATGCTTTATTCATTTATTCTTCTTTTTTTTTATTCCATGTCATATTTTATCATTTCATTGTATATTTATTTAATTTAATCTATTAAATCCAGCATTCCATGTTGTATTTGATTATTTCATCATATATTTATTTAACTTAATCTGTTAAATCCCTCCATAACATTCATTTTGATGCAAACATACTTTTTTTAGTTCAGTGATATACGGTATGTTTATTCTCTGCATTAATTGAGCAGGTCATTACAGATTGGCATTTCTGATCCGTTTTAATCTATCCTTGTTCATCAAAGCTAACTAACTGCGTTTCTCTGGGGTTCAATGCTGCTTAGCAGTTTTAGAAGTGAGGTAGGGTTGTAAGGGAAGAGACCCCTGTTATGTAGTCTCTTTACAGCGGTCCTCAAGTCCATAAGACACTCAAACACTTTACCTAACAGACAATCAGATGCATGTCCAGTCTGAACTTGTTCCAGCTCCATTACAGATCGAGTCCTACTACAGTCTGCCGCAGTATTCCCAGAGTTCCTGTCAGAAGCATGCTCTTCTGCCTCCTCCGATTCGTCTGAGCTCCCATAATCAACCAGTCGTGGGGCATCGGTACCTGTTGACCATCTAGTGCAGGAAGCAACATCCAGCGTTTCTGAAACAGCAGAAGGAGCCTGAACAGAGGGATCGGTTCCTCTTCCAGCACCATCACAATCTTCGATATGACGACACGACCTACAGAAGGCCGCCCGCTCCTCACGGAGAAGCTTCAGGTAGCGGACGCAGTACTCCAGGAAACACGTCTCGGAGGAGATGAGGAAGTCAAGCAGCACGCTGTGGTCGAAGGAGAGGGAGCGGAGCAGAAGTATGAAATGACAGTGAGGGTTACAACCCCAGACACAAACCCCGGAGTCTGAGGAGCTCGAACTGTGAAGAAGGGGAAGGAATACTTGTCATTAACTTACTTTTCTTTGTTAAGACATATTCTTAACATTCTTTTCTAATTATGAACTGGTAGTACAGCTCCTCTATTTGTGAAAAGATATAAAAAAGACATATAGCTGTACAATATACTTTTTAGCCAATTACTTATTACTTAGTAAAAAAACAAACAAACAAATAAAACATATTACAACCTTAATGTGCATTAAAATTTATTACAATTTATATATATGTGTGTGTGTGTGTGTGTGTGTGACCCTGGACCACAAAACAAGTGTCAATTTTTTTAAATTGAGATTTATACATCATCTTGCTCTATACAATCGAAATAGAAATAAAATAGAATGCTGAATAAATAAGCTTTCCATTGATGTATGGTTTGTTAGGATAGGACAATATTTGGTCGAGATATAACTATTTGAAAAAAATCTAAATTTTGAGAAAATCGCCTTTAAAGTTGTCCAAATGAAGTTCTTAGCAATGCATATTACTAATCAAAAATTAAGTTTTGATATATTTACGGTAGGACATTTACAAAATATCTTCATGGAACACGATCTTTACTTAATATCCTAATGATTTTTGTCATTATACATTATCCCATACAATGTATTTTTGGCTATTACTGTAAATATACCCCAGCGACTTAAGACTGGTTTTGTGCTCCAGGGTCACATATATGTATGTATATATGAATATATTTGAAAAAACACAATTTTTGGTTTGAAAATTAAATACTTAGACTGTATTTAGCAGGTATGCATTAAACTGATCATTTAAACTGTTATTTATTTAAAATAAATGCTGTTCTAAGAATCCTGAAGAAAGAAAAATGTGTTTCCACATAAAAATATGAAGCAGCACAACTGTTTTTTAACATTGAAAATAATATAAATGTTTCTTGAGCAGCAAATCAGCATATTAGAATGATTTCTGAAGGATCACGTGACACTGAAGACTGGAGTAATGATGCTGAAAATACAGCTTTGATCACAGGAATAAATTACAATATATATTCAAAATATATATATACTTAAAATATATTCAAATAGAAAACAGTTATTTTAAAATCGTAATAATGTTTCACAATTTCACTATTTTTACTGTATTTTTGGTCAAATATACGCAGTCTTGGTGAGCAGAAGAGACTTTAAAAAATAATAATAAAATCTTACCAACCCCAATGATAGTGTATATGTATATTAAAGGGGTCATATGATGCGATTTCAAGTTTTCCTTTCTCTTTGGAGTGTTACAAGCTGATTGTGCATAGATAAGATCCCTGAAGTTGCAAAGACTAAAGTCTCAAAACCAAAGAGATATTCTTTATCAAAGTTAAGACTCTGCCACGCCCCCCTAAAACGGCTCGTTCTAACACGCCCCCACATATCTACCTCACTATGTGGAAATATTTGCGTAATGCGCCCAAATGTGCACGCAAAGAAAGAAGTCGTGGTTTCAGTAACCGCAGTTAGTGTTGAAGCAGCATGTCAGGGAGACGCTGTGTGTTTCTAGGCGAAAGCAAAAGCACTTTATTTGGCCTTCCGAAAGTAGATGCATTTAGGAATCTTTAAGATCACTTACAACAGAACAGCAATGCATTTTATGGACGACCGTTTCGTGAACCTAGGAGAGGAGGTCATTCTGACTTTGCTATGACAATCTGGCGCTTCTGAATCAGCTACTGTTTTGTTATTAGTTTAAGTATTTGCTATTGACTGTTCAAATGCGGAGTTTTGCACATCGTGTGTGTGTGTGTGTGTGTGCGAGCGAGCGAGAGAGAGAGAGACGGGGCCCTTTAATAGGCCTAGCCTATTATCAGGCAATATTTGAGTACATTGTGAGTTAATATTGTTAAAAATGTATGCATATTTAATTTCATCAATGTTCTACATGTCTCTAGATATCAGCATTGGCCTCAGAAATACCCATATCAGCTGGAAGAAATACACATTTTGGTACAGTTCCATAAAATAGGATGTATAAAACCGATTCCAAACCTTTTCTGATATAAATACAAGCCAATCAAAGTCTTGGCTGATTCCATCATGTCGTCATCCTGTTCAGCAAATACCGCAGACACCCAGGAGCAGCTGTGAGCGTCTGGAGACATCAGAGTCCCGTGACGCTGGAGGAACGACATGAGCTCTGTTAAATACCCACAGACCTCAAAGTCACTCTGAGATCCTGAAAACGACAGGAAAGACATGTATTATGAAAGGATGTGTCGCCCTCTGCTGTTGCACATGATTAAATGACGTGTTTCATTCTATAAGAGCTA